CATGTTTATTTATTTTAAAGAGAAAAAAAACTTCCATCAATTGAAGCATTTATTTTTAACTGAGTGAAGAAATGATTATGTTAAATATCAAAATGCTTAATGCTTTACTCATTTTTAAAATTTGACAAGGTTAAACCCAGAATGTAACAATGGTGTCAAATGCAAACTTAGTCCACAGCGAAACAAACTGCCCATTTCATTTCTCAATCTTAAATTTCCAGAGACAGAAATAAAGGCTGCAGAGAGGAAGACAGTGTGTTTCACCAAGCCCCTGACATTTACTCAGAGATAGTAAGAACTGCCGATGGGGTCCCGACTCAAAACGTCAACTTCCCTGCTCCTCTGATGCTGCCTGGCCCACTGTGCCCCTCCAGCTCCACACTGTGTTATCCCTGACATTTACTGTTGCTTACAACATCACTTGAGAGAGGATCCTTGAGAACACTTGACGCGACAAGTTAGCACTTTGGCAACACTGGGAATGAGGAATGTGGTTTGGTTTCAGGGATCAATGTAGAGGTATGAGGGTCGTGGGAGTTGTCTTTTCACTGAAAGGACCATCTTGACGAGTGCGATCAATTGCCAAAGGATTGTTTGGAAAGGCACAACAAGACAAAGACGTTTTTAGCTGGTAAGTTACATGGAAAAGTGCATTGTTGATATTGTGTGGAGACCTGCAGTTTCTGAAGGTCTATCTATGTGGTAGCTACTTGCAAGCTGTAGACATGTGGGAATGCTGCCAAAAACAGGAAAGGTTAAAAGGAAGTAGTCATAGAAAACAGGTCACAGAGGAGACAGTAGGTAGCAGGGGCAACCTGCAGTTCCGATCTCCCGGGAGTAAAACAGACAGAACAGTGTCATGTCATTTATTTAAACACAGAAAGGAAGGAAATTGCAGGGAGGAAATAAAACAAAATGATGAATGGTTATTCAAAACTTAACAGTCATTTAAGAAGATAGTTTGGAATGATAGCAGAATCCTGGAGCTGTGAGAATATCTGAATAACGCAGTTAGAGACCAGGAGGGGGCAGAGAACAGTTTTGGAGTATATGAAAGGACATGAGTTGGGGTTTGGAGTGTGTGGGATTAGAGGGGAATGAGGGAGTGGAGAGGGCCTTACACTCGATTACTCAACCAGGCAGACATCCCAATGAAAGGAAGTGGGCCCTGTAACCTCGCTGCTTCCCCACTGCTCCATTATTAAAGTAATGTGGGCCAGCTCTGCCAGGCAGAAAGAAGATGGGATTGTAACCTCAGGAAATGGGCCTACTGGTGAATCTCAATCTGGGCCCAGGTTTTTGTTACAAACTATTCCTTATTGTGCTGCAATAATGGTGAGTTGACCCTTCAAAGACTGTCTGCTATGCATTCACATGTACTTGTCACTTAAAACAATATCTGTGCTCCATTGGGAAAGTGTTTCAAATGGCTCTTTATTGGCTTCTTAATTATAGAGTTATAGATAAAGTTATAGATCATACAGCATGTAAACAGACTCTTTGGTCCCACTCGTCCATGCCGACTAGCTGTTCCAAACTAACCTAGTCTCACTTGCCTGCATTTGGCCCATATCCCTCCAAACCTTTCCCAGTCATGTGCCCATCCAGATGTCTTTGAAATGTTGTCACTGTATCTGCATCTACCAATTCCTTTGGCAGTTAATTCTACATACAAACCAATCACTATGTGGCAAATTTGCCCTTCAGGTCCCTTTTAAATGTTTCTACTGTCACCTTAAAAATATGCCCCTTTGTTTTGGGAAAAGACCCTCAGGAAAAGACCTTGGCTGTTCACCCTACCTACACCCCTCATGATTTTATAAATCTCTATAAGGTCACTCCTCAACCTCATATGCTCCTATTCAGCCTGTCCTTATAATTCAAACCTTCCAATCCAGGCAACATCTTGGTAAATCTTTCATGAACTATTTCCAATTTAATAACATCCTTCCTGTAACAGGGTGACCAGAGTTGTACACAGTACTGCATAAGTCCTGTACAACCTCGACATCACATCCCAATTTATGTTCAATGGTCTGAACAATAAGGCGAGCATGCCAAATGCGTTCTTAACCAGCCTGTCCACCTGTGACGCAACTTTTAAAGAACTATGTACCTGAACCCCTAGCTCTGTCTGTTCGACAACACCAATAAACTATATGTTTCATCCATGGGGAATCTTGACCTTACCAGCAGCCTATCCTGGAAAATCTGGAGTGAGGTGGAATGTTGTTGGGGTACAATCCTGTTATCTCATTTCCATACTTTCCCTGACTGCACCTCCAGACCTGTTTCTAACAGCAAAGGAAAGCAATTGCCCCAAGTTTCATCCCCATGTCAGGCATGAAGTGGTGGAAAGAAACAGAAAAAAATCTACATACTCAAGCTTTATAAATACTTGCCTGCACATCACATTTTTTGATCTGGGGTTGGGGGATGTGTTATAAGATTGTGAGTTGGGCTGGGTGTTACGGAGTTCTGTAGAGTGTGTGGTTCCTTCAAGAGATAAAGCGCTTTTCTAAGCTTAAGAGATTTATACAGATAAAAGTGTCTGCATGTAGCTGAAAATGTACAGACAGTTCTGAAATTGAAACATGTATCAATTATATGTGTAATTGGAAACGTTAGGCTTGTTGTGATGTTTTGGCAACTAGCTAGAATCAGCCAATTAATTTAAACCAAGAACTTAGTGAGTAAAAGCCAATTGAATTTAATCTGATGGTTTGGACAACCTCAGACCAATGCTATTGTAAGAAAATGGATATGTCATCCAAGGTATATAAGTAAAGGGTTTTTGAAAATTGGTGTGACAGCGATCTGCCATCTAAGAAATAAGCACCTAGGTCTCACAAGAAATCAATAAGGTCTCTAAGAAAGCACTGTCTTATCCACAGAAGATACCATGACACTTCTAACTAAGGGTCTTCACAGAGAAAACATCCCTGACAGCAGGATCAGCAGGAGAAAGACATTTATGACTTGAGAGATAGTGGAGAAGGCAAAGCATTCTGGAAGACACATTCTGTGTGGACTTTGAAAGACTAAGTTTTAATTTTTTTTTTCTCACTACTTGGGTTATATAAGTGGGTCTTGTGTTATTGCTGTAGCATACCAGCAGAATTTTGTTCAGTTAGGGAATAATTAGGAGTTAGGTGGGATTTGTTTGGTTTGTTGGTAGTTCTATGAATTTGTTCACAGTAAGGGTTAAATAATGAATTGTTACTTGTTACTCATAAAGTGAATATCAGGGATTTTCTTTCATTTAACCTCCCCTTCTCCATAACACTGGTAACTTGGGAAGAGATGAGGAAGTTTCCAGTTTATGGGGAAAGGTGGGCAGAAAGCCTACTTCTGCACTTCAGCACCATGGTTAAAGATTAAATTAAAGCATAAAACATTCTTCCAGCCCTCAGTCTCCCCTCACACCACCTCCTTCTTCCCTCATTCCCCTCACCTCCACACAATCCTCATGTGCCATCAAAGCCAATCCATGCCACCAAAATACCTCTACCCACTTCCCATTACCCCTCATACTGCCTACATCAACTTAGAGTCTATTTTGACGAACCATGTTTCCCCCATTGACCTACCATGCTGACTCACCTAATATTTACATGTACCAATGCACACAGGAGGAGAAATAATATGCTATACTTAAAATTCTTAATTACAGATTATTCTATTGGGAAAAGGACTCTCATTCATAAAAACAAATTTTGACAGATCTTGACATATCTTGACTTGTTGACACTTCTTGAAACTTCTTGACAAGTTGGACAGTTCCAGGCACCATTTATGCTCAATCTCCTCCACATTAATAATCTCATGGGCATCGATTTCCTCCCTTTATAGTGGGAAGCAGTAATCCAATGGTAATATCACTGGACTAGAGAGACGAGTAACCGCAAAACACCAGACTTATGTTCTGGGGATATGTATTCAAATCCTATCATGGCATTTAATATAGTTTACAAAAAATTCTGGAATCATTGAAAAAATAGTTGATGCTGTTTTGTGATGGTTAAACAATGGGCTGAAAGGCCTCCCTGATATCTATTTAGTGATCTTGACAGAAAGTAGACACAAATTAATTCACATTTAGTTAAATTTTCCCTTTTAACCAGCCACCTGACCTCTCAATCCTCATCTCTAAAAGTTGTAGCTAACTTCGTTCTTGTTTGGATGCTCATGTGTATTTGTGAGTCCAGAGAAATGAGATATAAATATCACTATGCTCATAAAGTATTGTCATTCATTGTTAAATGAAACAAGGGACAAAACTTAGGGAGTCTCAAATTCTAATGACTTGCTTGGAAAGCAAAGTACTACAAAAGCAAGCTCAGAAATTGGTATGCGACCTATGAAAAGCCACCTGACAAAATTAACACCCCGAAGGCTACCAGATTCTTTTTGATACCAGTCCAGTTTCATAAGAATTTGGATTTAAATTATTATCCTTCAAACCTGATTTTTTTTTAACTAAACATCAAGTGTTGAACTTCTAACAACGCATTTTCTATTGGAGAATAACACAGTGTGGAGCTGGAGGAACACAGCAGGCCAGGCAGCATCAGAGGCAGTATCTATTGGAGAATGTTGCATAGATTTTACACAGAATTTATTTTTACATGAATAACATATGCAGGCACTCTAAAGCCTCTTAAGTTAATAATTAATTACATATTAGCACTTATTTTAGTTTTTAAAATCTGTGTAGAAAAGCATCACATTTCCCAGTAGCCTGGCACAAATAAGACTTCATTCCCTATAATTTAGGATTCATTTTGACCATTTAAATGCAAAGATCCAAATGAGCACATTGTCCACAAAAATACTAATTTACAGTATACTGAAATGTATATTTTTTACATAAAGTAAATTCTTCACAAAACTTACTGCTAAATGAAGCGGCTTAGTTCTTCCATTGATCTAGAACACTCCTGTACATGTTTTATTTCTAACAAAGAAAAGTTTAAATTCAAGTCCCTCTTTGCTACATTTCAGACATAATCTTGTAAGCGGTAACTGCTATGTGAGGCTGATGTTTGTGAAATTGGGTTGCCCTTATAAACAACTGGTAGCCTATACTCAGTTGCAGTCTGTGAAAATGAAGGCTGTGGTTCATAAGGCCTACAATTCCTTTGCTGAGGACTGGACAGACAAAGCAGAGCCCCTCCAATAAGTGTCACGCTCATTGACACAAAGCCAATGTATAAAGCTTCTCCCATTTCATATTTGATTCCGGGTGGAATCATTGGGTCGTAGAAGTCTCGAATTAAGTCATTTGTTGACCATGACACTGGAATGAGACACATGATACCAGCAAGGATATAACATATTCCTCCAGCTATGGCAATGTTATTTTTGAATGAAGATTCCTTGAAGCACATGGTGCATTTCATACCCATGACAGAAAAGAAAGTGGCTAAAACAGAAAGCAAACAGGAAATTACCATCATGGCACGAGCTGCCTGCAGGTGTGGAGGCAACGCCAGCTGTGAACGATAGACTTGACATTGGTAGATGCCAGTACTTTGCCAGACACATTCCATCCAAAGTCCCTTTGTGAATTCCATAGCCGTGATAATATCAGCACCCATGTGTGCTATTCTGCACCAATGTGGTAGGATAGTGGTGATCAATGTTCCAAATAGGCCAAGGAGGCCCAGAGAAAACCCAATGATCTGAATTCCCATGTGAGCCATTTTGCCTTTTGCTTCTTTGTCTATAGTTGTTAGATATAGCAGCAGCACCAGTTTTTCTGCGAATGTACTCTTTTCTCGTAAAACCTATTAACAATAACGAAATATTAAAAGTTACCAAGTGTATCCTATCAAGATTTATGCAAGTAAATATTGCTTATTTGCTTAATAATTTGTGAGTGAGATAGCAAGGAAAGATTACACCTGAAACCACGCATTGTTTTAAGAAAAATCTGTTAAAAGTGGATTTGTGAACAGTAGTAAACAGGACATGAAAAGTTAATTGTTTTCCATTTAATGTATGTTTACCCACTTTCAAAACTTTCCAGTACGGCCATGCCTTCAATTCATCATCCTTAGTGCGTACTGTGTTCCTTTTCTTTGCCTCAACTGGTTGAGCACACTTAATTTTAAAATTGTCATCATTGTTTTCATTCCCATTGTAACCTCTGTCTGCCCTATTTCTACAGACTCCTCCAGGTCCACAACACCCTGAGGTACAAATGCTGTTTGAATTCTAATTTCTTGTGGATCCCTGATTTAAACTGCATGACCATTGGTGCCTGTGCCTTTAGTTGCTTAGCTGTGGACTATCCTCCCTGTATCCCTCCTGCCTTTCTAATTCTTTTTTCTCCTTTGAGGCATTCCTTTAAACCCACCTTGTTTTATTTTAGCCAAGCTTTAGTCATCTAAACTAATATCTCATTATGTGGGCTGGTATCCTAGCTTATTTTAGAGCACTGCTGTAAAGTACAATAAGATGCTTTATGTTGTTTCTGTTTTCGAGACATTTTGCTACTATATAAATTCCCTAGAGTTTCAAAGAATGAGAGATGATGTCACTGAAACTTACAAAATTCATACACGGAATGACAGGGTAGATGTGGCTAGGCTGTTTCAAGCGGGAACCGGGGATATAGGTTCAAAATCAGGTAAAACACATTTAAGACTGAGCTGAGGAGGGATTTCTTGACAAGGGAGTGTGTGACACTTGGAATTTGCTCTCCCAGAGAGCAGTAGGAGTTGAACATGTTCAAGACAGGCTTCCAGGTGGATACAGTGTATGATCACACTTGGCATGTCACCTCATTATGCCAGGGACAGGGTGGTGAAGGTGACAGGTGGTGTAAATTCATAGGGACCCGAGGAGGTGTGAAGCCTATGGGGTGACATAGAGGGCTGCCAGGAAGGGGATGTAGATGACTGGGACCTCACACATAATGGCATAACCCAAAAATCATTATCTGAGGTACATATGCTGTCTCCTGCCATCAGCCTGGAAATTGCAACTGTGCAGTGACAAAGGAAATAGCCGTGACTACATCTGGAGTACGTGGAATAAGTGTGTTGCTCTGTAAAGAGGGGCCTACACACCCCAGCAATGTGAGGCTTTACAGATAGACCCATTCATTACACAGGACACATACCTCTGAGTTCCATGATGACCCTGATGTGTTGTCTCACTGTGTGCTACAAAACCTCCCTGAGCCAAACATTGTTGGCCAGTTTGTGCAAAACCAACACCTTTGACAACTGTGCCCAGGGGTGCCAAACCAACATAATGTGCACCTAGTGCAATGGTGTCCAGTTGCTGGAGTTCCTTCCAACCATGATGTTCATATTGTCAGCACACAGTGCAGCAAATTCTCGGATCAGGCATTGCTTCAGGGAATATCGTGCACGTGAACTGATGTCTGACCTCACAGTGTAACAGTTACAGCAGGAACTACACAGAGACATGACCAAACAGATTTTGTGGTATTGTGAGCACATTGAAATAACCATGAAGCTTTATTCACAGCGATGTCACTAGTGTCGCCAACGTACCCTCAAGAGTTTTTTTTTAAACCTTTCCTTCCCACTATGTATAAGTGCAGTCCCAGGTGGAGTGGAGGGAGCCTGCCTTATACTGTTTGCCTTTTGGATTTAGCGGGCCCGGGCATGGTGAGTGTGTCCTTGTGTGAGGCAAGTGCCACCCTCCTCTGCCAAACTCCCACAGCTTCGAGTGTCACAGCCAATAAATGTGGAGCTGGAAAAGCACAGCAGGTCAGACAGCATCCAAGGAGCAGGGAAGTTAACGTTTTGGGCCAAAACACTTCGTCAGGACTGGGACTGTGGGGGGTAGGGTGGGGGCGGGGGGGCAGGATGGTGTGGAGGGGGTGCCCAGAAATATATAGAGAGACGGCGGGGGCGGTGGAGGCCTGCTGGGAGCAGGGGTGAGATGGAGATAGATGGATGCAGGTAGCAGGTTATTGTTGTTGGTCAGTGGAAAGGGTGGAGCACATAGAGGTGAGTCGGAAGATGGACAGGTTGGGGGTGGAGAGATTTTGAAGGTGGTGAAGTCAACATTCAGGCCATTAGGCTCTAAGTTCCCCAGCTGTACTATCAGGTGCTGTTCCTCCAGTTTACGTTTGACCTCACTCTGAAAGTGGAGGAGGCCAAGGATGGGCATGTCACCAGGGGAGTGGGAGGGGGAGTTAAAGTGGATGGCAACCGGTTGGTTGGTTGGTTGGTTGGTTGGTGCATGCGGATTACAGATGCTCTGCAAAATGGTCCCCGAGTCTGCATTTGGTCTCCCTGTTTTAGAGGAGACCACATTGGGAGCAACAGATACAGTAGATGAGGTTAGATGAAGTGCAGGTGAATCTGTGCTGGATTTGGAAGGATTGTTTGGGGCCTTGGATGGAGGTGAGAGGGGAAGTGTAGGGGTGGGTGTAACACCTCCTGACATTCCCGTTTTACCTGACCTTCCAGTTACCATCGACTTTAACTCCCCCTCCCACTTTCGAGTAGCACTCCACATCTAGGGAATGGAAGGTGACGGCAGGGAACGCAGCTTGCAGTGGGCACTGTCAGCACCAGGCCCCTCCTGGTCACTAAATATTTGCTCTAGAGCTGCCATGTTCTCTTTTACCTTGCCTTATCTCGACAGCCCATTTCTATCCATCCCCCAAGTGGAGACCCACAATAATGAGCACTATTTACAACTGTTTTCTGTGCCCCCTGAACCCTGGCATCACGCCCTAATGATACTCACCCTGTTCTTCTATCCTCACTTAGTGGAGCACATGGTGATGCACACCAGCACTAACCATACCCTCATTTACAATGCCTTCTGTTTCTGTTCCACATTCTCCCCATCGTCCTTTTGTACTCTACAAAAGCTTCTGCTTCCTCCCAATAACCTTGACTCCCTCTGGCAGTGATCACCCTCGCTGACCCTGCAGCCCTTCCTTAAACCCTGTTGAATGATCGACAGGCTGACACCCAGGACTGTACTTGCCGAGAACTCTGGCCAACATTGACAAGCAGCTCCTAGACATGACTGGGCAGACCCCTGACAGCTGCCTTTGCTGTTCCCCAGTCGCCAATACGTGATTCCCTTGCCTGCTGCTGTTGGCCCTAAAGGACTGACCATTACCCTCCCTGGACTGCAGTCTAACTGATACAGGTTTGTGAGCATACCCACTGCAATCATGGCACATGGCATCACTGTGCAATGCCCTGACTAACGTGGAGCACAGATATAATGCTGCATGCCTTAACCAAGACCCATTGGAGAGCAGAATATAGAGATGTTGAAGATGTGGTTCCGCTGCTTGGACTGAGGTAATGTGCTGGATGCTGAGAATATGGGGAATGGGGCAGTATCCTGAGGAGGAGGCTGATGACACTGAGGATGAGGAATCTATCCTTGTCCATGAAAGAGCTCAGCTGCCTAAGGTGTTACAAGTTAGAATGAACCTCATTGATACCTGCTTCCAATAGAAGAGAGCTGGGTGCATTTTTGACTGTAAAATAGTCATTGGTCATGATACCCAAAATCTGGCTTGTATTATCGGAGTGAGCCTCAGTCTCTATCAATTTTGCTTTTGCTGTCTTTTCTGGGCTCTAGATAAAAGCTCATGTTTTGGACTTGTTCAATTGTTTGCCTATATGTGATATTCCCCAACTTAACCATGACAAGTTGAGGGCCTACAGTTGGCATTGGGATGGTTTGGAATTGACTTATGGGGTGGTTTGACAGGATATAGGGAAGGAGAAGCAAACTGTGTGGTCTGGTGGGGAAACAGTGACTAGGGCAAGAGATTGTACGCTCAGGGGAGTGCCAACCATGTCAGCTTTGTGCCATGGGCAGTGTGACTTTGTGGCTGCTATGCCATGAGGTAGCTGGTAAAGGGAAATGCTGTGCTGCCAATGCTTGTCCAGGCACAAGATGGCCATTGGAAGATGACACTTGACAAAGGATACTGACCTTTCTACAAATACCCACAAGCAGTGAGTGTTACAGCAATGGCACATGGTAAATCAGGGCTGGAATCTGACATTGGCGAACACCAAAGGAGCAAGGTAGGTAATTAATGAAGTGATTTGGGTAAGATAGAGTGAGAAAACCTGCAGCAAAAATCCTTCTAAAAGACTCAACACAACTCAGACTTAGCCAAATAAAATAAGAATCAGTGCTATGATAGAAGAGGCAGTAGAGGTTATTTAGCTATGAACACAATATTATTTGTCTTTGAAGAATGAAGTGAATGACTGTCAAGTCATTCTAATGCTTTAAGCAGGGACAAGAAACTATATCTCATGAGCCTCGTTCAGCCTTTACCAGGTTTATTTTGCTAATTTGAGTAAACAATTTCTCCAACCAGCTCTTTTGTCTGTCTGCCTATTAAATCTTACATCTCCCCATCCTGCAGACTCTGAGGTTTCATGGTTGTCGATTAATCCTTCTTTGACAGCGTGTATATGACCATATTTCCCTCAGGCACAGAAGGCTATTTTATAGGCCAGTGAGGATCATGGAGACATTCCCAATTTGAGGCCAGCCAAGCCATGAGAATGAGAGGCGAATACTTACGGTCCTTTTAAATCAAACACCTTTGTCAACCAACAGAATCCTCAAGATCAGTGAGATGTGAGAGTTATTTTGAGTAACAAAGATACAGTGCTTGAACATGCTGCTCTTTGTGGAAATCTAGTTGCCCTGACACTGTTGCTGGGAAACAAAATGAATGAGGCTACATAAACAGTGAATTCAGTTGATGATATAAATTAGCACTGCGGCCTTGATTTGATTTAGCCAC